GCAGCCAGGAGGTGTTAGGCGTAGTTGTTGGCTGGGTGGATCACCTACCACCTTCTGTCATTCTTTCCCCATGCACGGCAGCATGCAGATGCACTACCCTCCAGCCCCACAAGCTGTGCACACAGCATCCTGCTAAGCCTTGCCTAGCACCCTGGGCCGTACCCCCACTGAGACCTCTTGGCACCCCAAAAGAGCTTCCAGTTCAACATGCAGCTTTTCACTTAATTATTTTTCCCTCTTTCTACTTATTTCATTATATCTGTATTTGTTTGAAAGGCAGAGAGACAAAGAGGCAGAGGCAAAGGGAGATGTTCCAACTGATAATTTGCTTCCTTGAATATCCACAACGCCTAAGCCTGGGCCACGCTGCAGAACAGAGACGGAAGTCCAGCTGGGTCTCTCGTGTGGGTGGCAGGGACCCGGGCGCTTCGGTTGCTCTCTGCTGCCGCCAGGTGCCCGAGCAGGAAGCTGGATCAGAGTTGAGCCTGTGACTTGGACCTTGGCGCTTGATATGGGATGTGGGCACCCCAAGCGACGTCTTACCCACTGCACCAAACACCCAATTGCCACCCCATCTCTTTTTAGCATATTATTATGGTTTTGTCTCTTTTTTGAACTTTGTGTAAATGCATACTTTGTGTGCTCCTTTTTTGCTCTGGTTTCTTTGTTTAATAGCCTGCATGGGTGAGATGAAGAAGATGATCAAATACAAGAATCCCTTGTTTATGTCCATTGCTGTGTGTTGTTCCGCCAAATGATGGTGCCACATACTACTCATGCAATTTATTGTTGAAGGAATAGCTGGGCTTTGTTCCTAGGGATAATTCTGCAGTGGTTATTCTGTAGTTCTTGGTAGACATGTAGCCTTTCAGCTACATGTATCCATAGGACTGGACCAGCTGGATCATAGAATGCCATGTTTAATTTCGGTACTAAGTGTCGGCTAATTTCCAAAGAGCTTATAGCAAATTATACTGGCATCAGCAATACGTGCCACATACTTGATCCTCTGAGAGCACTTCAAAACATTCATGGAAAATAACCATAAATTCAGCTCGATGAAAAAATTTTTTGAAATCCACACATATGAGGTTTCTTCAAAAAGTTCCTGGAAAATGTATACTATGAAAATCTTCTTAATCAAAATAAGCTTATTTTTAATTCCATTTCCCACAAACTCCTTGCAGTTGGGTGTTATTTTTTTCTTTTTAAAAAATAATTATTGGGGCCAGCACTGTGGCACACTGGGTTAAGCTGCCACCTGTGACGCTGGTACCCTGCACAGGTGCTGGTTCGAGTCCTGGTTGCTCCATTTCCAATCTTGCTCCCTGCTATGGCCTGGGAAAGCAGTAGAAGATGGCCCAAGTGCTTGGGCCCCTGCACCCGTGTGGGAGACCCGGAAGAAGCTCCTGGCTCCTGGCTTAAGCCTGGGCCAGCCCCTGCCATTGCAGCCGTATGGGGAGTCTAACAGCAGATGCAAGATTGATTCCTCCCTCACTCTCTATCCATAACTCTGCCTCTCACATAAATAAAATAAATCTCTTTAGAAAATAATTCTTAGCAACAGTTGTACATATTTAAGGGCCACAAGGTAGCATTTCAGTACATGTTCACAACGTGTGGTGGTCAAATCAGGGTGACCAGCATTTCTCCTTCCTTGACATTATTGCATGAGTAGGGCGGGGGCTCCCTTCCATCTCTTGCTCATTAATACAACTAGGTTATTGTGAACCATACTCACTCCACTGTGCGGTGTGACACCGGAAACTTAGTCCTTCGCTCCAACTCTGATTTGGTAGCTGCCATCCAAATGCCTTCTCCCCCACCCACCCCTCAAGCCCCTGGAAGCCTCTGCAATCACCATTGTATGTTCAGATTGAGTCTTTCCGAGAACATTCGACATTTGTCTCTCTGTGTCTGGCTTATTTTGCTTACGTTTCTGGTGGATTATCTTCTTTTTTTTTATTTTTGACAGGCAGAGTGGACAGTGAGAGAGAGAGAGACAGAGAGAAAGGTCTTCCTTTTGCCGTTGGTTCACCCTCCAATGGCCGCCACAGCCGGCGCACCGCGCTGATCCGATGGCAGGAGCCAGGTGCTTCTCCTGGTCTCCCATGCGGGTGCAGGGCCCAAGGACCTGGGCCATCCTCCACTGCACTCCTGGGCCAGAGCAGAGAGCTGGCCTGGAAGAGGGGCATCCGGGACAGAATCCGGCACCCCAACCAGGACTAGAACCGGGTGTGCCAGCGCCACAAGGCAGAGGATTAGCCTAGTGAGCCGAGGCACCGGCCTCTGGTGGATTATCTTCTTTAAGCCTCCCAGTAAAGCCATGACAGTAACAACCGGTGTACACGTGTGCCCTCCCTCTCGGACTGAGAGCTCCTCATTGGCAAGAATACACACCTTGACCATCTTGAGTCTCCGGCACCCAGCAAGGTGCCAGGTGCAGCACGCAGACTTCATTAAATTAATGTCTCTTCATTGAGCACATCAAAGCCGCCCTGCATTCAGGTGAGATGGGGGCACACAGAAACTACTGACATTGGAGGAAAAAGTGCATGGTCCTTGGATCTGAAATTTATCAGTGCTATAAACAAAGACTGCTGTAACTACCTCACCCCGCCCTTGTATCGTGTGAGGGGCTGGTGTGCTCCTACTGGATTCTGTGCTGTCACAATTTCAGGTCTTCCCGAGGACATAATAATACAAGTCATCACGGCATTTTATCCCCTGCTTTCGCTCCAAGGGTTGGGTTCTGAGCAGTTCCGCGCAGCCCTTAGCTCTTCCGGTGCCAGCTTTGATAAAGGGGAAAGAGACGCTCACCCTGACCACCACACTGCAGAGTTACAGTCAGCAGTTAAGATTGTACTTTTCACAACAATTGTCTAAAACCGTAAGCCTAAGTGTGCACAAGAGTACTGCAAAAAGTCGTGGAGAAGGCGGCGTTGAATCTAGCGATGAAGAGATTCAGGTCTCACTTTGGAGGGCCTGAATTCATTTCCCTATTCCAGCATTGATTCCACCTTCCTGTTGAGACCGACCCTGGAAGGCAGTGGTGATGGCTCAAACAATGAGACTCTTACAACCCACATGGGAGACCTGGAATGTGTTCCTGGCTCCCAGCTGGGGCCTTGACCTAGCCCTTGCCATAGCAGGAATTTGGGGAGTAATGGATACAGATCTCTCTCTCTCTCTTTCAAAAAAATACATAAGTAAATATCAATTTTTAAAAGTTTGTGGGAAGTGCAATTAAAGGCTAAATTGATTTTGGTACAAAAATTTGAAATCCATGTATAGTCCTAAAATACAGTTTACGTTAAGTGTTCTGAAGATTATGTGTATGCATGGATTTTAAAATATTTTTGCACCAAAATACTTTCTTGTAAAGATTTATGTACTTAGGAGCCGGCACTGTGGCACAGCGGGTTAACGCCCTGGCCTGAAGGGCGGCATCCCATGTGGGCACTGGTTCCAGTCCCGGCTGTTCCTCTTCCAATCCAGCTCTCTGCTGTGGCCTGGGAAAGCAGTGGAAGATGGCCCAAGTGCTTGGGCCCCTGCACCCACGTGGGAGACCTGGAAGAAGCTCCTGGCTCCTGGCTTCATATTGGCTCAGCTCCAGCCATTGCTGCCATCTGGAGAGTGAACCAGCGGATGGAAGATTCTCTCTCTCTCTCTGCCTCTCCTCTCTCTGTGTGTAATTCTGACTAATTCTGACTTATTTGAAGGCAGACTCACGGGAGAGGGGAGCAGGGGAGAGGTCTTCCATCCTCTGGTTCATTCCTTAAATGAGACCCCTTCGGCCGGCGCCGTGGCTCAATAGGCTAATCCTCCACCTAGTGGCGCTGGCACACCGGGTTCTAGTCCCAGTCGGGGCGCCAGATTCTGTCCCGGTTGCTCCTCTTCCAGTCCAGCTCTCTGCTCTGGCCCAGGAGTGCAGTGGAGGATGGCCCAGGTGCTTGGGCCCTGCACCCCATGGGAGACCAGGAGAAGCACCTGGCTCCTGCCTTCAGATCAGCGTGGTGCGCCAGCCGTGGCGGCCATTGGAGGGTGAACCAACGGCAAAAGGAAGACCTTTCTCTCTGTCTCTCTCTCTCTCACTGTCCACTCTGCCTGTCAAAAAATAAAAAAATAAAAAAAGGAGACCCCCTCCCCGGGATAACAGCCATGGGGAAACTGCATGCGCCCACAGGAAACTTCACCCCTGTGGACTTCTCTCTCACTTCCAGTGGAAGTGAGATCCCACTGGGAACCGACCATGGAAGTGCGCTCTGTGGCCTGTGTGCGAGATTCCCTCCCTGTCAATGGGGCTTCCTCTCGTTTCCAGAGTCAGGCTGGGCCAGCTGAAGCCAGGAGCCAGGAGCTCCATCCAGGTCTCCCACGTGGGTGCAGGGGCCACCTTCGGCTGCTTTCCCAAGCGCGGTAGCAGGGAGCTGGATCAGAAGTGGAGCAGCCGGGACTCTAAACAGCACCCATAGGGGATGCAGGCAGCAGCTGAACCCTCCACACTGCCGTGTCAGTGCCTGCCCCAAAATAATCTAATCCTTTTCATTCCATTTCAATCATTTTTTTGAAGTACTGCTTACTTGTTATAGAATAATACACTTTTTATAAATCAGAACTCTATAAAAGAAATTCAAAGGTAAATATTTTGGTTTCAATAAACTTTTTCTCCTACTCATTCGGTGGGTTTCATCAGGCAGAAAAGAATGGTGATGAACAAAACCGTTGGCTACAATGGTTAAGTACCTCTGGGTGGCCTTGAAACCGATCTTAATGGAGGGAGAGCAACATCCGCTCATGTGAGTGCCCCCAAGGGTGTCAGTGGGGTGGATCTGTGCAGCTAGCTAGAGTCTAGATTCCCAGGCTATCTCTGGGATCCTCAAATTGAGCTTCAGCACAGAATCTGCAGATGGGACGTGGGCAGCATGTGGGGTCCCTTTCTTGACTTCTGGGAGCCTTGTATGTGCTGGGAAGTTTGACCTCTCCGGGGTTGTGTGTCCTAGGAACTACCATTGCTGGAACGAAGCGTGGATGACGAGGCCCGACCTCCCCGTCGGGTTTGGAGGCTGGCAAGCCGTGGACAGCACCCCCCAGGAAAACAGCGACGGTAAAACTGCGTGCGCCCGCGGGAAACCGCTCCCCTGCAGGCTTCTCTTCCACTCCCACCCCCGCCCTCCCTGGGTGGGAAAGGCGTCCGCTGGGAACCGACCTGAGAAGCGTGCCCTGTGGCCGGTGTGCGGGGTTCCCTCCCTGTCCATGGTGCTTTCTCTCCTCTCAACACTTTGATGCGGATTATTTTACAACTTCTAGAAAAAAAGTCAAGCTTGAATATATATGTTCATATATATGAATATCAAGCTGACTATATATATTTTATATAAGTCATCGCCTCTTGCTTTGATAAGCAGTTTTGAAGACAAGAGGGAAAAATCTGTGTCAGCATTTTTACTAAACTATAAAATATCCCTAACTCTCTCTGATGCACAGAGATGAGGCAGGAGAGGAAATACAGAACTCAAAAAGTAATTACAGGTTATTCTTTAAATTGTGGTTTCTCCAGAACTTGATTTATCTTTGTGATGTGTTTTCCTTCAACACGTGGGCTGTAGGTATTTGCCTTCTAACATCCGACACCTGTGCTGGGGCATAGTGGCAGCTATGGCCTCCCCCCATTTTTATAGAATCACAAAGACTCCATCTCTCTGTAATATGATGACCTACAGAAATCCCTGGACGGGGGACACTATGTCCTCAGGTGTGCACAGGATATACTGACATGTACACATCACCTATATACATTAACGCTTAGTACATATTTGTACTGGGCTCACAGTATAATGCTGAGTTTTAATGCTTTCTGGTATTCTGGATTGTATTTCATGAGAAAACCTTATACAGCTGATCTCTTTTTATCAATGGAGAAGCGGTTAGATTTCAAAGAATTTTAGAAACAGCAAACACGGGCTGACTTCCTGAAAGCAAGTTGGGCATTGGCCAATCTGTGATTAATGTCCAAATTCTCCAGTTGAACTTGACATATGTCCATCATGTCCAAAAGCAAAACACAAAAATCCAAGCAAACAGCAGCAACACAGCTTCCCAGGACACATCCCCATCTCCAACAGCTCCAACAGCAATTGGAAAAGGGACAGTGAAGCCAGCAGCTTAGCGCACGCATACCTGGGTATGTGTTTACGGGTGGTAGAAGTGGTGCCCTAAAGTCTTTTCCTGGTTCTAAATTTTATGTGGAAGAGGCATTTTCTCTCTTGTTTTTTTTTCTTTATTCAAAAAACTTTATTTAAGGAATACAAACTTCATGTACTTCAAATACACAAATTTAGGAACACAGAGATTCTTCCCACCTCACCTCCCTCCCGCCCATACTCCCACCCTTTTCCTCCTCCCTCTCCCATTGCCATTCTTAGTTTTTACAAAGGTCTATTTTCAGTTAACTTTATACTCATGAGATTAATCCTACACCAAGTAGAGAGTTCAACAGAGTATGGAGAAGGAAAAACAGAAAACAAGCAAACAAAGAACACTGTTCCCACAGTCAAGACAAGGTCTGTTCAAAATTTGATCACATCACAAAGGGGCCGTTTCACGCCTATCGATTACCTTTTGGGTGGAAGAGGCATTTCCGACAAGACACTTGGCTGTGCTCAGCGGTTGACCATCCCCACCCATGGAAAGTCTTTGGGCTGAACGGCCAAGTTGAAGAACACTGGTCTCCACACAGACACGGTCAGGGCTATCAACCACTCAGCACCTGGACGGAAGCAGCCATGACAAACTCACGCCTCTCTTGCTCTGTGTGATGCAGGCATGTACCGCTGTGGCCCAGCCTCCGTCCAGGCCATCAAGCACGGCCACGTCTGCTTCCAGTTTGACTCCCCTTTCGTCTTTGCCGAGGTAAGTGGAAAGCCGGAGACAGTGCTGTTTTCCTCCCCACTCTCTCAACCCCTGGAGGAACTGGATGCAGGCTTGTTACTTGTCAGTTTCACCTGTACCTGCATCCTGTTGACAAAGGTACCCAGACAACGTTTCAGCCTCCAGGCTCCTAGTGCTAAATGCTGTCTTAATAGGTTCCTTTCCTTGATGTTTGGAGAGGTTTCCCACCCTCAAAGCGAATGTTTTACTTAGTTCTCTGCACCCAGGAAGTAGATGCTCCAAAGAACTGAAGTGAGTAGCTGGATCCCTCATCTAAAAAGTAGAGACAGCTCATGAGTGATGATCCCACAGTGTGTTACCTCCTTGTGAGACAAGCCCAGTAATTCTCGTAAAACAGAATCCGCGCACAGCTTGGTCCCTGCTCCCAGTCTGAGCATTGCAGTCCGCGTCTTGCCAATGCAGGACTTCCCCGGAGGATGCTGCTACCAACAAATGCACTGAAATCATTTCTCTCATGGTTGGAAATGGGTACCTTAATCTGCCCATTACACAGAAAAAGAAGGTTCAGGCAGAGAGCGATTCCATAATCTTCCCACAGTTGCCCAGCTGATGAACAGTGGTGCTAAGACTTGAAGACAGGTAGACAAGTACCTGAGCTCACACTAGTAATGACCGCATCCAACTTTTCAAGGAGGGTATATTTATCAGTGGGATCCATCAGGCCCTGTGTTGTGGGGGAGGCCAGAATGTATAGGGAGGCGGGAGCCCATGAACACACCACGTGAAACAGGTGCTCTGGACCTCATCACCAGGGGAGTCAGGTGAGCATGTGCAGGACCCTTCCCCAGCATCTTTACATACAGGTGCTTGAACTGAGAGGGAGGCCAGCAACCTTAGTGGGATGGCAAAGACCACGAGGCGCCATCCAGGGAGGAGAGCACCCTGGGAACGGTGCACGGGGAGACCCTGCGTAGGGCCAGCTGCAGGTATAGGATCAGCGCACAGGGGAAGCCATGGTGCTCCAGCAAGGGAGAGACAGAAGAAGGCAGAAGAAGAGATCGTAAGCGGAGGGGGTGGCTTGAGCATCGGATGCTGTGGAGACTCACCAGGCTAGCCAGGGATGCGTCGGAGTTATCAGTAGACTGAGGCTGGTGTCCCCAGAAGTTCGCTCTGTGTCCCATACGTGTGCGAGAGGGACGCGAGCCAGGCACTGGCTGCCCAGCAGAACACAAATTGGATGAGATTGTCCCTGGAGGTGGGGACCAGCGCCTCCCTCCATGCCAGAGGTCTGAGCTAGAGAACAGGCGACACAGAGGAAGGGGGGTGTGAAATGGAGAACTATTTAGGAAATGGGTTGATGTTCAAACAGCAGAATCGGAAATCTGTGATACACTGACTCCAAAATCCACAAAGGCTGGATTCGTGTTGTTACTAGGTTATACCACTGTGTAGAAGTGATTCTTCCAGGAACGAACTCCCTAATAGCTCTTCACGCAAGCGCTTTTTCCTGTTATTAGTATAGATCTGGGAGTGACGAAGGCTGTCGGGATTCGCAGGTTATAATAACTCCGCTCTCACCCACTGCAGGGGGCTCTGTCGGCAGAGGGGAAAATTTGCTGCTTTGGCTCAGGCTGAGCTCATGCGAGAAGCCGGAGCTGGTGAGACGTGCAGGAAGCGTGGTTCCTCCAGGGAGTGGAGAGCAGGACCCTGTCGGGGGCCTCCGTGACTCAGGCTGAGGCTGCGCGCCCCTCCTGCCCCCCGCCTGGCTGCATCAGCTGCTGGCACTACCCAGCGCCGTCAGCGCCAGGCAGCTGCTGGCTTTCGCCATCGTTCCTTACTCACTTCCGGCCGCATCAAGCATTCTGTTCATTCACTTTTTTTTTCTTTAAGTTTTCCTAGGGCCTTGGTTCTGCCCCCCCCCCACAGTGAAAACAGAACCTGACAGACGTGAGCTTTGCATGGAAAAGTTCCCCCTCTGCTCCTGCTCCTCTTCCTCTCCTCCCCCTCGGTGCCAACCGACCCCTCACTCCTGCCGGGATCCAAGCCCCTCCTTCTTACGCCCTCATCGCTATGTGCCTCCCTCCAGTTCTGGAGGGTCCTCTGCCTTTTCTGTCCCCGACCTGTGGCGGCCTGGGGCTTCTAACGAGGTGGTGATGGAGCAGGGTGACTCTGAGTCGCCGTGGGTCACTGGGGATGGCCTCCCAGTCCCGTGGCCATGCACCCAAGGGTGCTTGGTGGACAGCTCTCTTAGAGGAGGGAGCTCACTTCTCTCTGGACTTTTTTTTTTTTTTTTTTGACAGGCAGAGTGGACAGTGAGAGAGAGAGACAGAGAGAAAGGTCTTCCTTTGCCGTTGGTTCACCCTCCAATGGCCACCACAGCCTGCGCGCTGCGGCCGGCACACCGCGCTGATCTGATGGCAGGAGCCAGGTACTTCTCCTGGTCTCCCATGGGGTGCAGGGCCCACGCACTTGGGCCATCCTCCACTGCACTCCCGGGCCACAGCAGAGAGCTGGCCTGGAAGAGGGGCAACCGGGACAGAATCTGGCGCCCCGACCGGGACTAGAACCCGGTGTGCCGGCGCCGCAAGGCGGAGGATTAGCCTAGTGAGCTGCGGTGCGGGCCCTCTGGACTTCTAATGGGCCCCGCTGTCCCTGTCACCCCACTCCACCCAAACTCACACATTTATGAAGGGACTTCCGAACGTTCGCAGGAAAGTAGAATCTAAAAATGCTGGTTTGGGGACAAAAAGAATTTGAAATCTATGCCCAATTTTTCATCACACATTTTCCTTGAACTTTTTCGACTTCTCATATGCATACACTTGTATCATGCACACACATGCGAGACACATATAGTACACACAGAGACACATATAGTACACGCACAGAGACACATATAGTATACACAGAGACACATATAGTACACACACAGAGACACATAGTATACACAGAGACACATATAGTACACACAGAAACACATATAGTACACACAGAGACACATATAGTATACACACAGAGATACATATAGCACACACACAGAGACACATATAGTACACACAAAGACACAAATAGTACACACAGAGACACATATAGTACACACACAGAGAAGTATATCGTACACACACAGAGACACATATAGTACACACAGAGACACAAATAGTACACACAGAAACACATATAGTACACACACAGAGACACATATAGTACACACAGAGACACATAGTACACACAGAGATACAAATAGTACACACACAAAGACACATATAGTACACACATAGAGATGTATATAGTACACACAGAGACACATATAGTACACACACAGAGAAGTATATCGTACACACACAGAGACACATATAGTACACACACAGAGAAGTATATCGTACACACACAGAGATACATATAGTACACACACAGAGACACATATAGTACACACAGAGACATATAGTACACACAGAGATACAAATAGTACACACACAGAGACACATATAGTACATACACAGAGACACATATAGTACACACACAGAGACACATATAGTACACACATAGAGATGTATATAGTACACACACAGAGACACATATAGTACACACACAGAGAAGTATATCGTACACACACAGAGACACATATAGTACACACACAGAGACACATATAGTACACACAAAGACACATATAGTACACACACAGAGACACATATAGCACACACACAGACACATATAGTACACACACAGACACATATAGCACACACAGAGACATATATAGTACACACACAGAGACACATATAGCACACACAGAGACACATAGCACACACAAAGATACATATAGTACACAGAGACGTATACATATAGTATACACATGATACATATAGTACACACACAGACACATATGGTACACACACAGACTTCTCATATACATGCACCTGTACCAGAGAGAAAGAGAGTGACTTCTGCCTTCTCTCTCTATCACTCAGATAAGCATTGTGACAGCAGTGACCAGTCCTTGAGGGCCATATTAACCATCCATTGTTCCAGAAGCTCAGCCATCCCAGTTCTGGGCCTCTACTCTCTGTATCCAACACATGCAGGTCTCTGTAGCTTCTGTTCATTTCCTGCTCTGCTCAGATCTAAAACAATTCAACCACTCATTCAAAGACCACATAAAACTTTACAGTTATTTTGGCTTATCTGCTTAACGTTACAGGTGCATCCTGCCATTGATAGCTTCAAACAATATCATGAACCCAGCCACTTGCACAATCTGTTGTGACGCTCTGGCCTCTACACAGCACCAAGCTCTATGAAGCCACCTCCTGAGTAATCTCCAGACTACCTCTTACTCCTTTCTACCTATTCTGCACAGAGAAGCTAGAATCATCCTTTAAAACACACATAAAAACACATCACCCTCATCTCAAACCTTTCGATGGATTCTTACTGTTCTTACAATGAAATTGAACATGAATCTTTGCAAGACTCTGTGTGATCTGGCTTGCTGCTTATCACTTCCCTCGCTCATTTCCCTCCAGTCCTACTGAGTTTCCTGCTCTTCTGGAAGCATCCAAATACACTCTCATTTCAGAATTTTTATAAATACTGCTCCTTTTCCCAGAAAAGAGCCGCCTCTTATACACACTCACACTCACACTCACACACACACACACACTCACACACACTAACCTCTTTTTCTGTGGTGGAAAACACTTTGCATGTTCCGGTCTGTCACTACATTCAAGTTTCTGCTCAGGTCATCTCTTCCGATAGACCTTCACTCGCCCACTCACCCCACTTCACATAGCACTCCTTCCCTGCTTCTGTGTCCCTGTCTTACCTCCGAATATTAGACTGTGTAAGTTAGACTAGACTAGATTTGGGGTGAGTTACTGAATCTCTGAGCCTAGGTTTAATGTCTTCCTTGCAGAGCTAGTTGGTGATAGCCCCATGTTGGAGGCTGATTTCCATTCTTCGAATGGAAAGGAGTCTTGGTGACCACTAGTCCTACCCCACACTTGGTGGAACCTGGACCTCCCAACATGGAAACTGGTGATGTCTTCACAACACCACAGCCTTGCCTCATGGTCAGACACAGGCCTTTCTGCCGTCATTCAGGGCCCTGAAGGCTGAGCAAAGGTGGGCTGGGCCGGCAGGCTAGACTTTTTCTATTCACGCCCATGGAGCATGAACACGTCCACGGTTGGCGCAAGCTACGCTCTGCACGTTGAAGGTGCTGCTCTTGTGTTCAGGACCCTGGACAGAGTTTTCTTGGGCTCTCTCGTTTGTTCCCAGCTGAGGATAATCCCATGTGCACGCCCTGCAGAGGAAGTGCTGTTTGTCCAGGGCCACGTGCAGGCAGCGGGCGCCTGTGCCGGCCTGGACACCTTCCCGCTCCGTGCCTGCCCCTGCACTTGCCGTTTCTTCAGTCAGCAGGTGCAGGCGATGCTGCCAGCCCCCTGAGTGTGCTCGCTGCCCCTCACTACGTGTGCCTTGTCTCCTGCCAGCGCTGCCAGCTCTGGAGGAGGCAGCTCCGCCCGGTCTCTGAGGTGCTATTCACAGCAACACCCGCTGTGCCAGCTCTTGTTTGTTCAACTCGTTCATTTGTTTAACAAACAGGAACGATCTTCAAAAAATTCATGGAACATGTGTATTATTAAATGATTATGCATAGATTTCAAAGATGTTTGAACCAAAACAAGCTTATCTTTTTTAAAAGATTTATTTATTTACTTGAAAGTCACACAGAGAGAAGGAGAGGCACAGAGAGAGAGGTCTTCCATCCAATAGTTCACTCTCCAGATGGCCACAATGGCTGGAGCTGCACCAATCCAAAGCCAGGAGCCAGGAGCTTCTTCCAGGTCTCCCATGCAGGTGCAGGGACCCAAGGACTTGGGCCATCCTCCACTGCTTTCCCAGGCCATAGCAAAGAGCTGGATCAGAAGCGGTGCAGCCGGTCTCGAACCGGTGCCCATATGGGATGCCGGCACTGCAGGTGGCGGTTTTACCTACTACACCACAGCGCCAGCCCCAAAGCAAGCTTATCTTGTCATTCCATTTTCTCTGATTGTTTGGAAGTGCCCTCGTATTTTGTTGATAGCTGCTCTATGCCAGAGTCTGCTCTTAGCAGTGAGGACGCAACTGACCTCATGTGTAAAATCCTCACGAGATCATGGTTCAAGGTTTACACTGAGCACTTACAAATTCCCTAGACCACGTGGATATCCAGCAGATGCTGGCTGTTGAGGTTGCTAGCAGAGATCACACTTCATGCAAATTCAGAACATCTTGTGGGCAAATGGAGAGGAGTTGTTCTCTTTGTCCTCTACTTTTAAAGGTAGGGATTTATCATCATGTTGCCCCATTACTTAACAATGGCCATTACACTTTTACTCAAGTTCGAAATTTATAAGTCGTGTTCGCATAAATTTTAGCTCACTCTGACTTAAGATGTTCCTATGCAACTGACAAAATGGGGGTAGTTATTTTCATTTTATAGAGGCAGAAACTCAAGTTCAGAGAGGTTGACGTGACTTCCTGCAATCATGTGCCCGAGACCAGAGCCCAGACTTCCTGCAGTTAATCTAGTGACTCTTCCAAGAGCCTTGTCTGGAACCAGGCACCTGCCAGTCCCTCTGCCTGGACACCCCTCCTTCCCTCCAGCCTACTGCACCGACTCTGTGCATCTTCCAGGCTTCAACTTGGCCGTAACTTTCCAGCCAACCCTTGGCTTCCTTCTCCACGTGCTCCCCAAATTCCCTGGACTTCCCCTCCCAAGGTGCTTGCTGTGCTGTGCTGCAGGAGTTCTCAGGCCTGGTCTGTGAGGGTTGTCTGAGACCTCCTTTAAAATATCGTAGACTTGGGAGTTCCACCCAAGACCTGCTCAATCAGCCATCGTTTTAAAAAATGGTCCAGGTAATTCCGATTCACAGAATCGCCCTTGCAACCGTGCAATCCCTATCATGGCAGCGACCAAATCTCTCTTGTTGGTCATTAGGGCCCTAACACCTCGAGCGATTTGTGAGAACACTGTGAGATGATTTATGATAATCAGTAACATCTAGGGAGTGTCACCAGGATGCCCGTCACCTTGTTAAGCAGTTTGCATGCGTTCTCTCGGTCATCCTAGGATTACCCCATTAAAGAGAGGGGAGCTGAGGCTTGGCGAGGGCCCTGGAAAACGTTCAGCAAACACATCAGTGCCTGTTTTATGTTGCCTGCCTGCTACCGTGTAATAAACAGAATGCCCAAGAAAGTGGTTGTAAAAAATAATAAGTGACTCAGAGGAAATCAGCTTCCAGGTACACATTCGGACACTGTCCCTGGAGAGCAGAGGGGCCAGCTAGCAGGGCCTCCAGATGCTATTTTCCCCTCCCACAAATGACGCATTTTAGTTGCTGAGCCATCAGAAAATAGCCTGCATTCCTCCTCGATAGTCTCATCTTATTTTTCAATTTCAAATCGTTTGGCTGCAAGTAACATTGCTCATGTGACTGAAACAAGCAGAGGTGTGTTTTTGCTCATGTAAGAAATCCTGAAACAGCTGTTCCCAAGGTCGGCTCAAGGCACGGAGCGGCAGCCTCCAGGCCTCACACACATCTCAGCTTCTCCCTCTGCCATCTTCTGGTGGCCACCAAGGTTTCTCCTCCTGAAAGCAGGAAGAGACGGACACGCTCTCCCCTGTAGCTCTCTCCTTTTTTCACGAAGAAAACCTGGCCGGCACCGTGGCTCAGTAGGCCAATCCTCTGCCTGCGGCGCCGGCACACCGGGTTCTAGTCCCGGTCGGGGCGCCGGATTCTGTCCCGGTTGCCCCTCTTCCAGGCCAGCTCTCTGCTGTGGCCTGGGAAGGCAGTGGAGGATGGCCCAAGTGCTTGGGCCCTGCACCTGCATGGGAGACCAGGAGGAAGCACCTGGCTCCTGGCTTCGGATCAGTGCAGTGCACCGGCTGCGGCGGCCATTGGAGGGTGAATCAACGGCAAAGGAAGACCTTTCTCTCTGTCTCTCTCTCTCTCTCTCACTGTCCACTCTGCCTGCCAAAAAAAAAAAAAAAAAGAAAAGAAAACCTTTCTCCCAGAGGTTCCCTAGAGACTTCCTCTGCTCCCCAGAAAGCAGGTCGCATGGCCCCTGCCCCTGTTGTCTGGGCAACAAGCAACGGGCATGGTGCTCTCAGCCCTGCCTTGGGAAGTGGCATTTATCTGGAAGAAAAGAAGGTGCTTAGATGGTTCCAGCCCCAAGCAGTCTTCATTTAAAATATTTCTTTTTAGAGTTATAGATGGTGAGAGAGAGAGAGAGAGAGAGAGAGAGAGAGAGAGAGAGAAAGGTCTTCCGTCTGTTGGTTCACCCCCCAAATGACCACTACGGCGGCGCTGAGCCGATCCAAAGCCAGGAGCCAGGTGCTTCCTCCCGGTCTCCCGTGCAGGTGCAGGGGCCCAAGCACTTGGGCCATCCTCCACTACCTTCTCTGCCACAGCAGAGAGCTGGACTGGAAGAGGAACAACCAGGACTAGTACCCCGCGCCCTTATGGGATGCCAGCGCTGCAGGCGGAGGATTAACCAAGTGAGCCATGGTGCCAGCCCCATCATTTTAAATATTGATAGTTAATCTAAATGGATTCCCATCAGAATCCTTTTTCAATGAGTTTGACCTTATGAATCCAATGCCATTGAGGAAACCAACATGTGGTTCTAGCAATCCCTGGATGACTACACACGGAGTTGAAGCCCTTGTTGGCAAGGATGCTTGCTGTTGGTTAATGCTCCCCTCCCCTGCTTCCAGGTCAACAGTGATATTATTTACATCACAGCCAAGAAGGACGGCAGTCACGTGGTGCAAGCTGTGGATACCACCTCCATTGGAAAATTAATTGTGACCAAGCAGATTGGAGGTGACGGCATGACCGACATTACCGATGCTTACAAATTCCAAGAAGGTAATTATTATGACCAGATGAATCTTTCTTTTTAATTATTCTTATTTGAAAAGCAGAGAGACAGAGAAAGAGACAGACAGAAAGAGGGAGCGCCCATCTACCTTGTTCACTCCCAAATGCTTGCAATGACTCAGTTTGGATATGATGGGAACCAGGAGCCAGGAACTCAATCCAGGTCTCCCACCTGGGTGGCAGGGACCCAATTACCTGAGTCATCGTGGCTCCTCCTAGGGTCTGCATTGGCAGGAATCTGATGTCAGGATTCGGAGCTGGGTGTAGAACCTCTGCTGTGGAATGTGGGCATGTGAACTTCTAGGCCAAAGTCCCATCATCGAATGAAGATTTCTCTGCCCATTTAATCATTGTCACTCTGAAATGTGTTCCAGAGACTGCACTGGCACTTGCAATATTGGGGTAGTAAAAGCAGGAGTATAAACTCATGAATGAGTGATACCTCACACGCACAATTTCCTATTGTGGTTTAGTTTGTTTGATGGCTTGGAACAATATTCCCCTTGACATGACTTAAGTGCTTTGATTTAAAGTCATATCTATTGTAACAGACTATAGAGTATTAACTGCTCACAGGAACCTTAAATAGGAAACTCTTTATGAGTAACATAATTTTAGTTCAACAACAGAGACTTAAATAGCTACTTCCTATTTACCTAATGCCTTCCAAATTTTTTTCAGTATTATCCCATTGAAACCCTGTGATTGTAGAGAGTAAAATATTAAGAGGAGAATACAGTCTCACTAATTCAGGCCAAGTGAGCTCAAGGCCAATCTCAATCGTAAGACAATGTTGAGATGGGTTTTGCCGACTTACGTTGTATAGACTGCTGTGAACAGGGAGACCCAGTCCAGTTCTCTTGCAGTCAATACCAAGTGTCTACACCAGGCCTGCAGTTGGGTTTACTGCTGAGGCTCCCCGCTGTAAACACACCCAGGTCCCTGCCCTCTGCTGGGGGAAAGGACCATTAAGCAGAGCGGGCCTTGGGAACAAAGCAAAGAGACACTCATTCCGAACAAGAGATTGAGAGAAAGTCAGGCCTGGGGAGACAAGTGTCAGAACTCAGTTCAAGAAAGCTGGAAGGGGACTGCAAGCAGTGGAGACGTGCCAGGGGGAGAGGGTGTGAAGCAGCTTGGTGTGTCTAGGGTCCTGCCTTCAGGCCTTACTAACCCGCCCAGCTGGCCCAATGGCTGAGGACAAAATCGCCAAGGTCGGCAGTGGGCAGCTGATGGAGGGCCTTAGGTATCTTGCTGGGGACCGTGGAATAGATCCTGCAAATGGTTCACCGCTAGAGGGTCTGAGGAGCCGCATCTAGTTTAGTGAATGGCTAAAAATGATAAGTAATTAGCATACCCCTAAATATTCATCAGTATTCCTGAAATGCTAAGGAGTGCAGAATTTGTTTGAAATATTTCAGACAGTTCCTCTGCTCTTATTTACAAAAACAATTTGCACTCGAAAGGAGAAACTTGCTGAATTGGGAACACTTATGCGCAGTGTTAGAGATTCAGAATTTTGTCATCCGAACAAGCAGATTTTTAGCGTATTTCTGAAATCATTCATTCTCTTCTTCTGTTGGTTACCATCCATAGCACAGCCTAGACACAAAAGCTGCTTTTCTTTTCTTTTTGGCTTTTCCTAAAAAGGAAAGCTAAAAACAATGTAAGCACAATAAAGCAAAACAAACAAGCGATGCCTTCTCACGATACAAGGGTACTTCAAAAAGTTCATGGAAAATGGAACTGAAGTTAATTTTACTGTGGTGTAAAAAAAGTCTTTGAAATCTATCCAGGTCTCCAAAAGTTCGTGGAAATGTGTATTGTGAAAATACCATGGGTGGATTTCAAAACTGCTTTGCACCAAAAGGAACTCATTTTAAATTCCATTTTCCATGAGCTTTTTGAAGTGTCCCCACAGAGTTCCAATCAAAAAGGTGTGAGTAGGATAAATGGAAAACCCCAAAGAGGAGATGAAGAGAACCAGCTGCAGCATTCACTCCTCCACGCATTCGCCCACTCAGGGCCTTCCTCTTACCCACTTGCACATCCCAAGCGCCACGCAGAGTTGGAGACCCGCAAGGCTCTGTCTTCTCATCCAGCTGCAGAGCCCACAGAAGGATGCCCAGCACAGACTCAGGGCCAGGGAGTGCCTAGGGGTCCTTGCCATGCTCTGATCATGCTACTATGGGTATACGAAGGGTCTTCAAAAAGGTCATGGAAAACATATTACTTTAAAATCTGTGCGTGAGTTTCAATTTTTCTTGCAGCAAAATAAGCCCACTTTTGATTCCATCTCTCCATGGACTTTTTGAAATGCTCTCGGGCTTACGCTTGGTGCCGTCCATGGCAGATAGATTTGAGAGAGGAGCTCATTCATTAAGGCCCGGCTTCCCACTCTCCATGGAGTGATGTGATTCGTCCACTTGTTCAACACTTTGAGTCAACGCCTCCTGTGTGCCAGAGCACTGGGCACAGAACAGTGATCCAAATCTGAATCCAAAGGATAAACGGGATTTGGCAGGTGGAGCTAGGGAGAGAATTGTCCAGAAAAAGTCAGCAAGGCGGACACTGCTGTGTGAGCTCCCCCGCTCGGGAGGAAGTCCTGACCAGGCAGAGTAGTGAGCAAAAGGCGAGCCCTTAGGCATCTGGGAGCAGCAGTGACAGAGCTATCACCAAGACCACATCAAAACCACGCAGCATGGCATACCTGCCATTGGCTGTCAGTCATGTGGGTACTGGTGACATACCTGCCATTGGCTGTCAGTCGTGTGGGTACTGGTGACAACCAAGCCAGGAATGGGACAGGATCAGATGCTATGGGCAGAGAGACCAGGCCAGGCAGAGACCAGGCCACAAGAGAGGAGCCGAGAGCTTGGCCAGGATCGGACACCAGATTAGGACAAATCAAATGCTCCACCTCTACATGAGGAAGACATCCAGGCACAGCTTGTGCTGACCTGACCCAACCTGAACCACTAAGTCCACACAGATAGCTCTAAGACACCTCAAACCGCCTCTCTGCTGGAGTTTGACCACAGGTGGATCACTAGTCTCCTAACCAAAGACGGCATGCGCATTTCAGATTCTAACTGTGGACATGAGCAAATGCAGTGCTATTTTGAGAGGCACGCTGATAGGAAAGATGATTGATTATTGATGTCTGCCACGGACACCTAGGAATGTGGTGATGGCTGGCTGGCGGCACTCACGTCTGTGCATTTGCCACTCTGATTCTTACGTTGAATCTCACGTATTTAATTTCTTTGACCTGCCAATGCTGAGATGAGTAGAGAAACATAGGAAACATTATTGCTAGATTTAGAAATTAACTATTTTAATTAATTAAATGGAGAAAGATCATTTTTCACTTCAACTAACTGGAACTTCATATTACTTTCACAATTTTTCCCCAAAGTATAAGAATAGGAAACTGTAAAACTCTGAGAACCAGAATTCTGAAGACGCCGCCCCATGGCAACACGTGTCCCGCGATGATGGTGTCTCCAATTCATTCCCTCTTCACTCCATCAATTACTCCCTCTGCCGCTTGTTTTCATCTCTCCTCCATATCTCCTTCCAATTAGCAATGACGCAGGCTCCTGTGTAAAGAAAGAAAACTTATAAAGCATCTTAACGCTAAATTTACTACCAAACACACCTCTTTCTATAGCAGGCACCATTGCGTCTTCCTCTTTGCCTCCACAGCTAGTCATCTGTTTAGTTGTTTATCTATTTTTACTTGAAAGTATTACTTATTTATTTGAAAGACAGTGAGACAAAAAGATCCCCCATCCACCAGCCCACTCCCCCGGTGCCCACAACAGCCAAGGCTGGGCCAGGCTGCAGCTAGAAGCTTGGAGGTTGGCAGAGATCCCAGCCCTAAAACCATCACCTGCTGCCTCCCAAGGTGACCATTATCTGGAGGCTGGGATTGCGAGTGAAGCCAGAACTCAAATGCAGGCACTTCGATGTGGGGTGTGGGGGTCCCAAGCAGCAGCCTACCCACTGCACCAAATGCCCGCTTCCCAGCCAGCCAACTCGTACGAGCTGCCTAGACTTGTGTCCTGTCGCGTTCCATTTCCATTCATTCCTCTCCAGCTGTGCCCTGACTCCTGCTACCAGGATGTCCTTGAAGGTGTTCTCCTGGGGCAAGCCGTGTCAGCTGAATACACATTTCGCAGGACCCATTTGCTAGACCATCCTCCATGTTCTGATGCTGTTCTTCACTGCGCTTTCTCGAAGTTCCCCCTATCTCTGCTTTTTTTTTTTTTTTTTGACAGGCAGAGTGGACAGTGAGAGAGAGAGAGAGAGAGAAAGGTCTTCCTTTGCCGTTGGTTCACCCTCCAATGGCCGCCGCAGCCAGCGCGCTGCAGCCCACGCACTGCGCTGATCCGATGGCAGGAGCCAGGTGCTTCTCCTGGTCTCCCATGGGGTGCAGGGCCCAAGTACTTGGGCCATCCTCCACTGCACTCCCTGGCCACAGCAGAGAGCTGGCCTGGAAGAGGGGCAACCGGGACAGAATTCGGTGCCCCGACTGGGACTAGAACTTGGCGTGCTGGTGCCGCAGGTGGAGGATTAGCCTAGTGAGCCGCAGCGCCAGCCTCTCTCCGCTTCTACAACACAACTCTCTCCACTACCCGTCTCCTTTGGGGACCCTGAGCTCACCTTTCTTCAACACCTGGGAATATTCTGCCCCCCAGGCTCCATTCCCACGCATGCACGCTATAGTCTTCCTACACAGCTGGTGTTAACTCTCACCTACAGCTAGATCCCTATCACTGCCGAGTCTCTGCCCCGACCCGGGCTTTACCTACATGCTCCATGCAGACCTGAGACCCAATCCTCCCAAATGCCACCTCCTCTCTTTCCTCCCTCTTTGCGGATCTGGTTCTCCCGAACCCTCCCTTAAGGACAAGAACGGCCATGTACCCACACTTAGCAACCTGGGAATTAGTCAAGCAGCAAACCCCAGAAGTGTCCCCTCTGAGGGTCACTTGCAGATGTACCTGTGTGCTGTGGCTCCATGGGCAGTCACTCTATAGGAATCGAGTAGGGTCAGGTGTGAGAAGCCTTTAGCCTAGTGCCTGACCAACAGTGGGTACCTGCTCAGGGTCCATTTCCACTGCACTGCTGCTAGTAGGTCTAGTCTCACTGCCACACCACTCCTGTGGGTATTTCTCTCGTAGGAAGACACCTGTGCTGGCTTTCCAACTCCACCCCACCTTCTCACCCTCCCCTTCCCCCAGTCTGCCCCTTACCTTGCTGCCCAAGAGGAACACAGCGCTGAGCCTGTCACAGCACCACTTAAATCCTCCACATCGTCCCATCACAGCCAGAGCGCTCCCGTGACAACCCCAAGGCTTCTTGTGTGTTGACTTGTTGGCCTCCTTGCTAGGCCTCCTGAACGTGACCCAGGTCTCACGTGCAGCACCCAGAAGAACCACTCGCTGGCGCTTCCCCCACCAAGCCTGGCTCTCGCTGTCTCCCCACTCCCCTCTCACTGTGTAGCAGAAAACCCTCATCCGGGAAGCCTCCCTGGCCCCCAGGCACGTTAAGGGCCTCTGGCTCACTCCCCGGCCGCCGATGCATGTCCCAGCATCTGGACTGCAGGCGCTCCCTCGTCACTTGTCCCCCTGTCTCCACAGGAAAGGACTGTGTTTCTCACCCATACTAGCGCAGCGCCCGGCACGTGTGCCGGATCCAACAGCAGGAGGTGGCCAAAGGGAACGTCCCTTTCTCAGGTGGCCTTCACTGACCGTGAAAGTCCTGGACTGGACTCGAGCGCTGCTATAAAGATGGAAGTCTTGTCTCACAGGAAAGCAGTGCGCCTCGCCACCACTCCTTCCTTCCTCAGAGCCTCTGGGCCGGGGGGGGGGGGCGCGCGGGACGCAGGTGGACAGCACTGACCCTGTCTCCACTCATGCGGAGACTGTGTTCCAGCAGGGGAAGCGGTCTCACACAGGGACAAATCCTGCAATGAGGGAAAGGCAAGAGAGCCAGGCAGGGTGCTCCTGAGAGATGAGGGTTTGGAGACCAGGGGTGACGTTGGAGAGAAGACCAGGACGACGAGCAGAGGCTCCCTACAGCCTGAAAGGGCTGCTGCACCACATCCCCTCGATGGGATGTGGTTTTGACCTTGACCCTGGGAGGGTCCAGAGGAAGCTCAGGAAATCCAAGCCGGCTCTGTGTCAGCTCTCGTGGGCCTGAGACGTTGCCCGTGTTCCTGCATTACACGAGACGCCAGAGCACAGGGCACAAATGCAGACACAGGATTTACCCTGCCCGGCTCGGGGAACGCCCAGTTCTGTCCTCCTGCCTGGGCAAGCGCTGATGGTAACGGCCCCAGCTCATCTCTACCGGGCAGAGGGCTGTCCACAGAGCCTGGCGCTTCCCCACGCTGTCAAGTCACTCAACGCCCCCACAGCCCTGCCCCCACCCCTCCTGTTCTCCATCCTGACCTCTGCATCTTCCCTAGGTCAAGAAGAAGAGAGGCTGGCCTTAGAAACCGCCCTGATGTACGGCGCTAAGAAAGCCCTCAGCACAGAAGGCGTCATCAAGTCGAGGTCTGACGTGGACATGAACTTCGAAGTGGAAAATGCCGTGCTGGGGAAAGACCTCAAGCTCACCGTCACCTTCCAGAACAGCAGCCCCAACCGCTACACCGTCTCAGCCTATCTCTCGGGCAACGTCACTTTCTACACCGGGGTCTCCAAAGTCGAGTTCAAGAACGAGTCGTTCAGAGTGGTGCTGGAGCCCCTGTCCTGTAAGCCTGCTTTCTTGCTGGGTGCTGGTACTCACTAATAGCTTTCTGGTCAAGTTCAAGTCCTGGGTATGAGCCACTCAGGGAGAACCCCGCTCTTCTTAGGGGAGGCGTGGCATTCCTCTTCTCAGGCAGACAGGTGGATCCAGCGGCAGCAGTCTCAGGCCTGGCCCAGCCCTCCTGGCTGGGAACCTGCATCCTGACACGATTCCCGTGGGCACTGGGACATAGGAGAAGGTTCGCTAGGCCTCTGCATTCCTTTCTCCCTTGTTAGGAGAGACGTTGTGGCTGCCCTGCAAGAATGGCACATTTTACTTCACATTAGAAGCAGGGAGCTCTACACACTACACGCAGGCTGTTTGTTTAAACTCATCCGTCTGAAGGCTAGGGAGAGAGCCCACCAGGATCCAGGAGTGGCCTTGCTACCCTGCGGCTTCTCCCCGGGGGGGGGGGGGGGGGGGCACTTTCCCGTGCTCTGGCCCTTCCCGTCTCCTGCACGCAGGTGTGCATCCGAGCGTTTTTGCCACTCTTATAAAAGCCGCAGGTTGGGATTGGCACGCTGCAGCTTGCACTGGGCACGGAACCGTCACCTGGGCTCACTTCCTGGGGTGCTAGTATTTGGTTGGCATAACAGTTGGCCACACCACAGGTGAAATAAGTGAACCAGAAGAAACCGGTCTCTGGGCAGAGTGTGCTGAGTTACACGGAGCCCCTTGGAAGGGACCCAGATACTTCAGGGCACTGGATTTCCATTGACCTGACATTTGGCACTGAATAGAAAGGAAAATGGCTGGGGTGGGGGCAGGAGGTATGCCAATGTTAATTTTTACAACCTGGAGGAAGAACTAATGGGGCCCCCCTGGGATGGCCAAATCACAGGTCTCAATTATTCTCAACCTTTCTGGGCCCTGAGTCTCTCCCAGCCCACATGCCCTTCCAAAGACATTCCCAGAAACAAAAATTATTCCTAAAAATCCTAATTCCAAGAAACCTACCCCAATTTGAAGTGTTCAAATATCCCTAGCTTCAGGAACGTAGTCCGAAATCAAGAGGTCGCGCCGGTACTTTCGCTGGGAGCTGGAAGCCTGCACGCTCTCTTTAATCCCACGGAGTGGGAAAGGCAGCTCTCCTGGAAGAGTCAGTCGTCAGCGGGAAGGGCCTGGACAGTGTGTCTGAGCCGGAGCTGCTCTGCCTGCCCCGTGAGAGGCAGTAACGTAGGGGGCAGGTGTGAAGCAGAGAGAGTGAGATTGTTCAGGGGACTGGTAAGCCGAGAAGGTTCCCAACCACCACCACCACCACCACCACCACCACCATGCCTTGTAACAGGGCGTTTTTCAGAACAAGTGGCAGGAAAGAGGTGGTGGGTCTCTGTAGACACCTGGGTGCCAACAGGGACCCAAACAGGGCAGGGAGACTTCGTCCGTGGCTAGCTGACTTTGGAGACGGGATCTGCTCCGTCTGCTCCTGCCAGTCTCTAACAAAGCAACCATTACCGCTGTGTGCACCTCCTTATCACCAGCCCTGGGGGCTGACACGTCTGCAGGGCCCCCCCCCGCCCCCAGCAGAAGCATCTGACCCAAGAGGAAGGCACCAGAGGAGACAGCTACAACAGGAAGGCGGAGATTGCAAGCTTTTCCCATCTGCTCCAAAAGGAGACCTCCACTGAAATTGTTCAGAACAGGCAGACACACTGGGCTTTACAGAGCCTGGTTCTTGGAATCAGACACATCTGGAAATACGGTGTGACGATGTCACCTCCATGCTGTGCACCCTCGAGGACTTACTGAGCAACCAGAGTGTGCCCCCTCCTCTGTAAATCATCGCACGGCTGCCTACACCTGGGTTGCGGTTCCCTCCTCACACCGGTGTTTTGTGCTTGCAAGTCTGGGCCCTGCTATGTGCTGGCGACAGAACCATGTCTACCCCTATGAAATTTCTCGTCTCACAGGGAGAATCAGACAATAAACACTCAAGCAAGTGCATATATCGTAGCGCCGTGTGTGTCCCAGAGAAAACGAAAGCCGGTTGAGAACAGTCAAGGAGACCAGCGAGCCTGGGGCAAATCTCTCTAATAGAGCGAATTTAACCGAGACTGCACAGAAGGGCAAGAGGAGCATTCCAGCCAGGAGACATGGAACGTGCAAAGGCCATGGGGTCACAACCTGTCTGATGCCCTCAATGAGCAGCAAGGGCTCCGAACTGGGAGCAGAGGCAGCAAGTGGGAAGGTGGTGTGTGTGGACCCTATAAAGGAAGGACCTCTGCTGTTCTTTCCAGGGAGCTATGAAGCCATGGGAGGGTGTCAGGCAGACATGCTGCGTGACCCAGGGCCACTGTGTGGAGAGGAGATGACAGGGCGTGGGAGGCTGAGCGCAGACAGCAGTCAGGGTGACAGTGCCAGTGTTCATCTGGGGGTGGGGTGGCCGCGGGGGACGTGGGGTGGACTAGTGAGCCCCAGCACAGTCTGAAGTCAGCCCACCCGTGTGGCTGCGGGGTGGAGGAGATGGAGGGATACAAACGCTGTCACGTGGCTAACATGCTGCACACGTGACGGGCTCTCAGTAGATGTCAGCTTCCTGCGGCTTGGGAAACTGAGGCTGCAAAGATAAGTTGACGCGTTCAAAGTCACACGCAGCGGTCAGAGACAAAGCAGGTGACAGAACTCAGATCCTATCCAGGCAATGACGGAGCGAGCCAGTTAGGTGTAAACTTGGCCCCGAGTTCCCTACTTATGCCCCCCTTAACCTGGGGTCCCGCACAGGTCCCTGGCTGGGAAGCTAATGCCAGCCCCTTTCCTGTCTCCCAAGAGACCTGTCTCTCCATCGCCTTCCTCTTTTTCTCCCTAATCCAATTAACCGACGAGCTTATATAAGTAAACGCGGGAGAAATGTCTTCTATTATCCTTCCCGGTCATTGATCTGCACAGCCATGACCAAGCCTCAGCGCGAGTTAGCTCTGGCACAGGTGCCGCCCACCTGGGCTTGTCCCGAATAACCTGGGGAGGAACTGGAGGTTCTTCCTCTCTTTGCCCTGCAGGTGAGTGGCACTAATTGCGTGCAATAAGTTACTTATTGAAATCTACAGTAAATTGCAGGATATTGCAAAATGTCACGTCAGCCTAGACCTTGATCAAGCCTTCTAAGGTACTTCCATGGGGAAGAAAGTTTTGCAAGTAGAATGGGAGGCATACTTTCCAGAATGATGATTAAAGGGAACGTGTGGGCTCGAATCAGCTTGGGAGAGTTGAATAACTTAAACCTCCCAGTACCTTCAAAGGTGCTATCATTTCCACTTGGCTATATTTAGTTTTCTTTGCTTTTTGGAAAAGAGATGAGGCAGCTCCAGTCTGTGTCTCCCTTGGCTTTCCCCAGACACCGTAAATGATACTGGCAGCATCCCAGCTCCACCGCTCCTCGAGTGAAAATCTATTCCTCCTTCTCATGCCACGTTTAATAAACTTTATCTAGAACAATTTCTTGTGCAGTGGCAAAACACAGCACTTACATAACATCCTATTTTAGGAGCACTGTTCTCTTGGGCTCTGAAACACAGCCCGGTTTCTTTAGTGCTACGAGTTGGAGAATGTTCTACCTCTGGGAAGGAAGAGGGTCCTGATGCCGAGATGGGGAGATGGGTAGGAAGAAGGCAGGTGCATCCCACTGGCCTAGAGGGGCCTCGGGGTCACACACAGGCCTCCAGAAATAGCCAGAGGAAGCCCAGGTTCAGTGCTATTCTTCCTGGGGGCCCGAGGCAAAATAAGATCTGCCACGTGCCCACACCATCTGTCCGGCTCTGGGGACACAGAAATCAGGCCGCAGGGGCTCCTCTGCCGTCGTCTCCATTGCTGGGCCAGAGCCCCTCTCATCTGGATCCGCAGTGACCGAAGGAGCCGAGGAGGAAGGAGGGGGCCCGGCTCAGGGGTAAAGAAGGCAAAGATGAATGTGTCATCAAAGAGGTGGATTTTGAGGGGCCGAGGTCAAACAAGGTCACAGGCTGAGCAAAGCCGGCTCTAAGAGGAAGAGTCCTGCCCCAGGAATCCCATCAGCCAAACCTGCATCATCTGGGCGGAGTTTCCAGGCCTCAGCACGGCCAACAAGTGCGCCTGGCTCTGGCTCCATTGTGGGGACTGTCCTGCGGTCTCCCAGGTCTCTCCCACCCACCAGATGGCAATAGCAGCCCACCCTGCACCCTGGTTGTGACAGCCCAAAGCCTGCCCGGCAGCCACCATCGAGCTTTGCGGTTTCCCAAGGACTGCTGCAGTTCTCAGGACTCGGGCCCTTGCACATCGGCTTCACCTGTCTCAGCTTCTGGTCTTCTCCTGTAGGAACCTCCAGTCTCTCTGGAATAGATGTCAGGCGTCCCATGAAATGCAGATTCTGACTCCAGGAGCTGGGTGGGGCCTGAGTGCCTGCCTCTCTAACAAGCCCCAGGTGATGGCGCCGCTGCTCACCTGCGGACCACGCCTGGAGCTGCCTAGGTGGAGAGGACCAGCACTGGCCCAGGAACCACGGCTTTGTGCAGGCGTGATTGTGCGGGGACGCCCCTGACGGTGGGAGCGATGCTCCTCCCTCAGCTGCACACAACAGTCCACCGCTGAGACGCATCCGATTGCTCAGAGCTGCATGCAGTGCGGCAGGTGTTTAAGCACCCCTAGGGGACGGCGATGGGGAGCCAAAGACCTTCCGTCGGAGGCCTGTCACTGCACCCACGCATCAGCAGTGACACTTCCAAGGCAAGATGCTAGCCCAGGCAGAGGTCTTCCCAGCCTCCTGGTCTCCAGGGTCAAGGGCAAGTCATTGTGCATCCAGCTCAGGTGTGTGAGTCCCCCTCTACTAATGGGCTTGGCGGGAGGCACCTTCACCTGTGCAGCAGCCACAGCCCAGGAGCCCCGGGAGGCCTGATGCCCTGTAGCATGTCATCCTCCTCAGTCACAAACGGCCCTCACCCTCAAACTGTCAGCCCTGGGAACGGTTTCCTTCAGTACCTCCTGCAGAAAGGCGGGACCCTTGGCAAACCGTGCTCAGGGAAGCAGTGAAGATGTCCAGTTCTGCGAATGTTGATGGAGTCCGTGCCCTGTGGTTGAGGATGGAGTATGAGTCGCCCATTGGCCTGCTGGGTCTGCCAGCCGGCAGGTGCAACAGGTGCCACACCACGGCCGTCTCAACCTGCAGAACAACCACCCTTTGCTCTCTAGAGGTGGAAGTGAGGGAGGAGGGTAGACCAGTGCTACGAGCCAGAACTCACGTTCCCCAGTCCACACGCTGATAGGACGAGAGCAGGCCGCTCTCTGCTCCCCAAACATCATCTTCATGGACTGGCACCCACACCTAGCAACTAATGTCAGGGACTTGAGGAAGTTGGTGGTTGACACAGGGGTCTTATAAATTGCAGATGGGCAGGGCTTGGAGACGGTGGAATGGCTCTGAAGGAAGCAACTGTCAATGGCTTCTTTCTCTGAAATAGAAAACGCGTGACATCACGTGGGCACGGCAAAAGCTAAAGCGAGAATGTGGAGCACCAGGAAGACAAGGCTCGGTGGGGCTGGTTTTGCCCAACCGTGACCCAGCATGGCATGGATAAGACAGCTTTTATTCCTCAAGGGGATGGGCGTGTGAGAGAGTGACCCTGGGCTTCACTGTCCCACGTCTGCCTTCCCGGGATTGTACTGCCTGACTCCGAGAAGCCACAGTTAAAAGCCCTTGGGCCTCCGTTTTGAACACCTTTGCCATGGTGGTCTAGATTTCAGCAGCAAAACATTGTCCCTTACCAGGCGTCACCGCAGATTAAATTCCTGGCACACTTGTTCTCCACCGGAGAGGCAGGAGGGCTGGGCCCCGGGTGACTCTCACCGTGTCCTTCCCCTTGGCTGTGCTCCTGGGGGGCTGCTGGGAGGGTGCAGGGGCCTGGGGGGCAGCAGCTTCTCTCCCGGGTCTTGATGCCTGACCTGTTTGTTGGCCCTCCCGCCAGACAAGAAAGAGGAAGTGTGGATCAGAGCCGGCGAGTACATGGGCCAGCTGCTGGAGCAGGCGTCGCTGCACTTCTTCGTCACCGCCCGAGTCAATGAGACCAAGGATGTGCTGGCCAAGCAGAAGTCCGTGGTGCTCACGGTCCCCAAGGTCGTCATCAAGGTCAGTCTGAGCGTCTCATCTCAAACAGGGCCAAGGTGGGAGGTTCTTGATGAGGCACCCAGACTTGGTGCGAGTGTGTGTGTGTGTGTGTGTGTGTGTTCTGCTCTTAAAAAAAAAAAAAAAAAAAAAAAAACATAACAGAGCTAGGATCCTCTTGTTCTTTGAAAGAAGCAAACCGCCCTATATATAGACGTGCACATATAACACTTTCCTCTTCTCTCCCAGATTTAAATATATAGATGTGGCTGCAGATATAAATATAACCTGTGGGTATAAACACACTTGTGGAGGAAGATAAAGATGTGTAATAGATACAGACTTAGAACTTTCCGTGGCTCCAGAGGAAAGTAGGTCAGGCCTGCCGTGAGATCTGCAAGCCGCCTGCGGCATCTCCAGCTCCACCTGCGTTTGAGGCAGGAGCCTTCCTTGTTGTGGTGCACCTGCAGACAGTGGAGTGTGGACAGGGAGCGGCGGCTTGAGGGTGCTGACCTTTCGCATAGTTAGGCACCTGGCAAGCACTGACCAGTTGCAGAAATAGAGGGTTGTATTGCTTTTTTGTTAATCTGAGGAGGAGAGATTCTGAGAGATAGGAAGACGGAGAAAGAGAGACCTCCCAGGTGATGGGTCATTGCCCAAATACTTCCGACAACTCAGCGTGGGCCAGGCCACCGCTGGGAGTGAGGAACTCAATCCAGGTCTCCCAGATGAGCGGTGGGACCACCATCACTGCCTTCCAGGAGGTGGATTAGCAGGAAACGGAAGCCAGGGGCCGGGGCCAGGTCTGGAACCCAAGCCCTCTGACACAAGCTGTAGGCATCTGAACCAGGGCCCTACCCACTAAACACCTGTCCTGAGAAGCACAGGACTCCCGCACCCCAGAAAGGTCCGCCGTGCCTTTTCCAGCCAACCTCCCCCTCCCCCACCACGAAGCCCTCCGTCACCATAGGTTTGTGCTCCCTGCGGACCAACAGTTGCCATAGTGCCTCTCCGGGTGCCACCAGAAATCTCTGCCCGAGTGGCTCAGGGCACTTGGCAGGACAGAGCTGTGGGCAGGTGCGGATGGAAGACGACTGTGGGAGCCATAGCTGTGGGTCCTCGTGGCCTCTTTAGCCACATCCCTGGGACACTTCTCAGCCCTGGAAGCAGGAACCCAGGCTCCGGCAGGGCCCTCAGGGGGTGACATCACACCCCAGCCCATATCCAGGGCCCCGAGGCCCGCCCCAGCCTCTGCAGAATGTTCTCCTTAAAGTGACTAAGAGTGACGAGCACAGAGCCTCCCCGGTTCCTCCAAAGTGGGACGCATCCGGGTGTTAGAAAGTCCGCCGGTTTCATGCCGCCCGGAGGGGCCTTGGTTCTTGTGAATCATCGGCTGTGAATCATCTGAGCTTGGATAACTGCGTGCATTCACACTGCAGCTTTCCTGCGTCCGACAGCCATCCACGCACTTGGCATGCGTGGCTGCATTTTCCACACCCGGTAACCTCTCGCATCTCCTCTTAGGCACAGGAGCAAAACTGGAGAACAGAGAGGTTGCATACTCACCCAAGGCCACACAGCCAGGGCAGTCTGCCACATGACCGGGTCCTGTGCGGGGGGCGCAGGGAGCTGCCCCAGGACGCGGCTCCTCCCCTCTCACAGATTGGTGCCCTTGAGGATAAGATCACCAGGCCTTCATCTCTAGAAAGGGCATCATCCTCACCCGCCTTTGCTTCTCCTAGCCCCTCACTGCTCCGCACAGCACTGGCCTCGCCAAAGGCCTCAGGGGCCAGATGCAGATGCCCAGGACTTGCAGGCTGCATCAGAAACAAATGCAGGGCGGGGATGTGGCTGTTGGGGGTGCTCCTTCGGTGCCCTTGTGCCATGCGAGTGTGAATTCAGCCGCACGGAGTGCAGGGTGCCGTGGCCAGGATGGGCCCGCCCAGCAGGTGGCTGCTCTTCGGGCCGCCTCTCCCCAGGGACGGGTGCCAGCCCCCGCAGCGTTCTCTCAGCTGCCTGAGAGGGGCGTCCGTGTCACCGTTGCAGGGCCCATTCACGGCTCAGCCCTGAGCCCTTCGCGGCAGAGGCTAAAGCTGGCTACTCTCACCTCATTTCGAAGCCGAGGCTTGTCCCTGCGTGGGCCCCGGGAGACAGCCTCTCCAGGCTGTGAAGTGCTCAGACCATAGCGAAAATAAAGCTTAATTGCACCACTGATAATAAACTGGATGTATGAAGGAAACGGAGATCTTTGATCTTCAGGGCTTTATTAATCTGGAGGATTATTTGTGCGGTCTGTTTACTTAGCAGCAGTAAAGGGGTCCGGGCCATGTGCTTGGGACTCACTTGTGACCGTGGTGGAAATCTGGGCTCTGTTCAGTCAGTGCTGAGTTTGTTCATGGACCAGGGGCCAAGACATCATCACAGAAGCTGTCCCTGAACTGTTAACTCCAGGGATAAACCAAAGCCAAGCAGGAGATGAGGGGTTCCTGGGGAAAAGCAACCAGGGGTCACTGAGCTGCGAGGGGCTCTGATGGCCGGTACCCCGGGGTCCTGGACACGCAGAGGCGTGGACTTCTCACCCTGGAGGTGACTGCCCGAGAGCAGAATAGGGAGGCGAGAGGAGGCCAGGGAGAGAGGAGGTGGAAGACAGTGGGAGAAGTGAGCGTAGTAAGAAAATTTCCAGGTGAAATGTTGCATGGGAGACCTGGGGGAGGTGAGTCAGGTACGCGGCTAAAGCAGGAATTGGAGAAGGAGTGAAAGGCACTCGAAACGTCAACCCCACCCTCGGTGAGAGGCCCACAGTTACCGTAGGGTGCATCCCCCAAATCTAGGAAAATTCAGACTCTTTCTTCCATCTCTGATCCTGGGATGATCTCCCAGCTGGCTGAAACTCTCCGGTTGCTGTGGTTGAATGGAAGGGGCCAGGCACAGGGTGAAACCACATGGGAGAGAAGTTGGGGGGCCAGGACCCTCACAGGCAAGAGGAAGGAAGTGGCCAGCATGCAGGGACAGCCTTGATAGCAGCCATGCTGTGTTACACTGTACAAGGACACTGTATAAGGACACTCCCAAACAGTCATGGGAAAGTGGCAGCAAGATAAGTTTATTTGGTACAAAATATTGTGAAATCCGTGCCTATGAGCATAATTGAATACTTGTCTTGTATTACCTTAGTTAATCCTCATTAGTACCTATGATGTGGGTATTACCATAATCCCATTTAATAGACGGAAAAACTGAGAGAACCAGAGAGAGCAGTTCTTTGTAGCACAGTGATCAAAACCATGGACTCTGGGGACTGGCGCCATGGCTCACTTGGTTAATCCTCCACCTGCCGCGCCGGCATCCCATATGAGCACCGGGTTCTAGTCTCGACTGCTCCTCTTCCAGTCCAGCTCTCTGCTGTGGCACGGGAGTGCAGTGGAGTATGGCCCAGGTGCTTGAGCCCTGCACCCGCATGGGAGGCCAGGAGGAAGCACCTGGCTCCTGGCTTCGGATCGGCACAGCGCCGGCCATAGCGGCCATTTGAGGGGGTGAACCAACGGAGGGAAGACCTTTCTCTCTGTCTCTCTCTCTCTCACTGTCTATAACTCTACCTGTCAAAAAAAAAAAAAAAAAACACCATGGATTCTGTAAGCAGCCTACATGAGTTCAACACGTAATCTCTCGATGTAGTGACCGTCACCCGGGACGAGTTACCAAACCCCTCTCAGATTCTGTTTTCTCACCTGTTAGATCAAGGCAAGGACATCCCCCACTTCCCGGGGTCCTGTGAGTGTTTGGTGGGTCCGTGGAAGGCTCCTGCTTGAGTCACGGAGAGCACCCAGAAGCCTTGGCTGGCGTTCCTCTTGCCTGGTTACGGCTCTTAGTCACGTGTCCGTGATCATACACCTGCCAAGGGAGGAGCCAAACCTCTTCTAACCCAGGACTTCCTGACCCGAAGTCTGCGCAGTTCCCACGAGGCTACGTCGCCCCCACCCTGGGACTTTCACAGGTACACAACTGGCGATTGCTCCGGAGCTTGAAGGGAGTGAGGCATAGAGAAGGCTGTGGAGTGACAGCTGATCCTCGATGAGTGGACAGCATGCAGCCAGCAGCGGGGAGACCTGTCTGGACACCAGGAACAGCGATGTTAGCAATGGCGAGGGAGAGGCGGAGGGCAGCGAGAGGCCCACCTTGGCTGGAGTGGCTCCAGGCTGCAAGCGGGGCGTGAGTGAAGATGACTAGAGAAAGGCAGCCGGGGGCCGTTTGGAAGTGAGCTTCAACTGTTTGGACGAGAGCTGTGTAATCCACGCTGTCGTCAGGGAGACTTCTGGAGCCAGCAAAGTCTCCAGACCGTTGTCTACTCTGCCCTCCCCCGGGCCTTCACCCAGAGCACCTTCGCCCTCTGGGAATCCCAAGCTCAGCCTTGGGGCTGGGGTTTCCTGGCATCCAGTGTCCAGCTGTTTATATCTGACTCCCTTTGCAGAGCAGATCCAGGCCCCCCTGGACCAGTAACAGGCCCACGATCTGGGCCCAAGTCCTCAACCACGGCGGGCAGGCTAGTGGCTGCGTGTCCATGCATCTCTTACCCTCATAGCTACCATGATGAGGCTGCCAGCTGGGTGTTCCCGTCACTCACCATGCATGAGTCATGGCGGGTGATCCTCATATGGAGAATGGAAGAGGAAGACATTCATTCAACTTTAATGAGCACACTCTTCCCTGTGCCATCAAAATATTTTGATGAGAAAAGTATATTTTATTAAAAGCAGACATAAAATCGTTCTCTGCTTTCCCATGTGTTGATTGTTGTTAAGATGCTGTAAGTCAGCAAAAGGCTCTTCAGCATTTTAATTTTTAAAGAACAGCTGGTTTTTTGGAAAGAATGGGGGCACCAGAGGAGCCGGAACTGGTCTCTAGGCTACGGACTGGAATCTACAGCCCGTGACGTGGGCAGGGCATTATGATGGGGCACTCCCATCCTCAGGGGGCAGTGTCATGGCGGCCCCATCCTCAAGAAAATCAGCTAGCACAGGGGCACC